CTCCAGCCAAGTTCTGGTCTGGATCTCCAGCCAGGTTCTGCCCATGTTCCCTCGCTAGGTTCTCCAGCCAGGTTCTGTCCAAGTTCTCCAGCCAGGTTCAGTCACCAGGTTCTAGTCAGGTTCTCTTGCCAATTTCTGTAGTCAGGTTCGGTCCAGGATCTTTTGCCATATTCTCTCGCTAGGTTCTGTCTCTAGGTTCTGAGGCCAGTTTCTGTCCAGGATCTTTTGCCATGTTCTCTCCAGCGAAGTTCTTCTGTCTCTAGAGAACGTTCTGTGTAGGTTCTGTGCCTCCTGGTTCTGTCTTCTCAGTTCTGTGTTCTAAGTTCTCTCTTCTAAGTTCTGTCTCTCTTGGTTCCGTATTCTAAGTTCTGTCTCTTGCTGTCTTGTTACATCTGTATTTATACCAGTTGATTCAATCCTATCAATCTCTATTACAAAGGTTAGGGCGTTTCTTATCTCCATTCCAGGGAGTAAAGATTATGTAGCTTAAGCATGATTGTTTGTAGTTAAAGTGATTAACTACCCACCTGGCACTTAGTTAAGGAGTTTTATCCCCTCCCTGACTTCAGGGAAAAAATCCCTACCTGGGGAAACAACCTTTCTCAGAGAGGAGACCTTGGTTAAAACACATAGTGCCAAGAAGGTGAGCAAACATTTTAAGAACAGTATGCCATATATGCCAGGTCCTTTGAAACAGCAAGGATGGACTGGCTCCCGGCAGTCTCCTTCAGATCATAATGTGAAGTTTAAAATGGAAAAGAGATAAGACTTTTTCAAATTTTGAAAATCATACCAATGTAATTTGTGAGTATTCTCATCATAATAAAAAAAAAACTTTGCCCTGTTAAGGTAGGCCTTGCACAAGTCATTTCATTTTTTGCACCCCAATTTTCTCACCTATAGAGTGGAGCTCCTACTCTGCAGATTATACCTTAAGTAGCAAGGCAAACAACAGGAACTGAAACACAAGGTATTATATTGTTTGCTTATTACACCTTTGCATTTTTTATTATAAGGCAGTGGATAGACTCATGCTAGTCCTTGATGTCAAACCTGCCACCATGTGCCATGTCTCTCATGTTAGTAGATACTGACACTCAGGTGGCATAGCAGGTACGGCATTTCTGCCTACAAAGCTTTGTGACTTCAAAACAAATCCTGGGGAATTTTTGGTTACTGACTAAGCCTGTTGAGGTGACAAGTGCAATCGGCTTAGCTGCCTGGGAGCTGCCCCTTTAGCTTCCATTACCTGAGCTTTCAAGATTGTTAGGTGTGTGACGGATCAATGCTGGCTATAGGTGAATGTGTGCAATCAACCTCAGTGAAGCAGGCTGAAATCCTTTGGTGTGAGGTGTCATAAAAGGAGGGAGGTGTTGCAAAGGTGCTGGGCAGGCTAAAATGCCTGCCCCACGAGCAAGGTCTGCCGCCTTCTTCTGCTCTCACCTTCTCCCTCTGAGTTCAGTGCCAGACACCTTTCCTAGCCCCCCTCCAGAGTTGTGTATTCTCCAGTTTGGAGCTCTGTATTCTTATACTGACCACAAGCCCAGTGATTATAAATGTTGAAGTCTCTGGGAAACTCAAGAGTTACCATAGTGAATTTGGAAGCATGAGATGGGGAATATGTTTTGGAAGGTGGCTAGTCACAGTTATTCCTAATGTGGACTCTATTGGTATATACATTCTTACCTGTGCAAAGCAATATAAAATTTATGTTGTCAACCAGTGACGTGAATGGGTTTTTTCTTTCCTATAGCAAATCTGATCATTACTATGTTGCATCACACCTTGCAACAAACAAAATAATAGTTTCATGATGTTCTGTTTCATTGCAACAAAACAGAACACGTGTCCTTGGAATGTATGAACTGTCATTTCAAATGAGACTGAAACATTGTTCCCACTTACCTACTGATACAGTCCAAACAGCAATTATTTTCAGAAATGCCTTTGTTCTGGAATTGAAGCGGCTATGATGGATGGGGTTCTGGATGGCGACGTAGCGGTCCAGCGAGATGGCACAGAGGTGCATGATGGAGGCCGTGGAGAAGAGCACATCCAGGTAAATCCAGATTGCACAGAGCTTGCTAGGCAGAGGCCACTGGTAACCTAGGATGCAGAAGCTTAGTGTCAGTAAGCGGCCTTATGCTGCCTCTGGCTTGTGGATTCTCTCCTACTGCAACAGTTTCCATCCTGGGGAAAGGCACAAGAGGCAGCAAAGGGCAACATAAGGTATTTTAAATATTTCAAAAAAGCCTAATAACAACTGTGGTTAACTACGTACAATTTCACTGGCTGATGAGCACAGGTTTGAACATTTCTTTTGGCTGGAACTGTCAGGCTGTTGAGGTAAACAGGTTCTCTTTAGTGTTCCTTTCACTCTGCTCTAACAAAACATACCTTTTTGGTTGGTTTTCAAATTACTTAGGTCCTGAGTTATGACATATTTTGGGCTCCTCTACAAAGCACCTCACAGTATACAGTCCTTACTTATTCACACATCTTTCACACATTTCCTACCTATTCCCTGTGGCTAGGCCCATCCCTTCATCATTATTATAATTGCTCAGTCTTACCCGGTGGTGGCATTTAGTAGTCCCTCAATAAATGCTATTGGCGTGAAGGAATAAATGACTAAAAATCCAGAATGAGAATATGTCTTTACTTTTAAAAATGAAACATAATTACCTAATAATGCTTTAGGGTTTAAACTCAAATTTGGGGCTCATAGATATGAGGATGAAGACAATGGTGAAGAAAAGCATGGTGTTTCTGTCCTGAGAATTGTTTCAGGGGTGCTGATGCTCTGGTCCAGGGACCCCACTTTGCCAACCAATGCTTATGGCAGTGGTTCTCATTCCTGGCCGTACATTATAGTCAGCTGGAGAACTTTAGAGAAGTCCTGATGTCTAGGAGGGTGGGTCCCAAACACTGTTCTAAAGCTCTCCAGAGGATTCCACTGGGAGGACCCCTGAAGGAAGTCACCGGATGTATTAGAGAGATAGGATATGCTTTATGGACATAAGCAAAGTGTCCTATATTTTTAAATAAATTTTTTGAGGGGGACCAAATGTTTATATAAACCTAATTAATTTTGATAACAGTATAAGCAGTGGTGTTAGGTCTGTGTACATGTGAGAAGGAAAATTATAAAGACCACCTTTTCTTTACAGTATTCCAGACCCACAAAGCTGAACAAACTCTCCATTTCAAACATACTCTCTCTACCAAAATGCCACCACAGGTATTCAGAAAAGGATATAAGCCTAATTTAGTGCCTTTCACACGGATTATTTGCAAAGAGTTTCAGCAAAGACTAGAGCCTTTTCCTTAGCAGCGCCTGGGGGAAGGCATGCTCCGCCTGGTCGGAACTGATGTTGGCTCTTAAAGAAGTTTTCTCTGCTAGGAGGCAGCCCCAGCCTTAGGCCGGTTTCCGCAGTAGGGATAAGGAGGGGGCATTTCCTCCCCCTGAGGAGTTCCTGAGGACAGACCAGGGAGGAGCTCAACTCGGGGTGGGAAATGGCTACACTCTGAGCGGCTGTCGCTAGGGGGCGCACTTGCAACCCAGAGCCTGAGACGCCCCTCCTCTCCCCCCTCAACTCCCCACCTCTTCTCGGGGTCATTCTCACCCTGCCTCTGCGGTGGTTTTGGTTTCCGGACTGGTCGGCCCTATGGATAGTCACCCCCCATTCCTGGAGTTTGCCTTTAAGCAGGGTGGGGTTTTAGGAAGCGAGGACCTCTCCAGTATATCTGGGAAATGACAGGCGAATTTAATGAAATGATCTGGTGGTGACGTTCCAGTGGTCAAGTAGGCTGTTTTGTAATGAGCATTACCCACCATGTGCAAACCAGAGCCTGATCTCCTTTGCTCACCTCCCTCCTTCCCACTCCTCAGGACTGGACTGATATATTTTAGCCCTAAGACTTGGCCAGAAAATACCCTCTTAAAGACAGCACTCAACTTGTTTCTAGCTCTGGATGACTGCTGATGTGCCTGTGTCAGCAGTCTTAATTCTCTCTCTTTCTCTCTTCAAAATCTGGCTGCATTACTTATAATTTGGAAAGAACATCACATTCTACCCCCAGCTAAAGCCGACCCAGTGTTTGCTGACTTGCTGAGAGGTTTGACTCTTTCAAACTCTGTTGAGAAGAAAGCAAGATTAACCTTTTTCCATTTGTTTTCCACCCTCCTCCACACCAGACTGGGGGAGTTTCTGCATATGCATTTTTAAAGGCACCCTTCCAAATTAGCTTTCCTGGGCAGGGAACAATGAAAATTGGAGTCATTCATTTATTCTAATGGAGACTCTGCATATTTTAACATTAAACCCCACTGCACCACTAATGTTCTCTCTGCAAATGTTCCCAGGTAATTGGGAAGGTTTTACCACTCCATTAGAAGTGCTGAAAACTATGACAAAGATAGAACTGTCCTGTTTTAAAGGCTGGAATATTTGGGAATATAAAGGAGTGAAAATCAAGTAGATTCAGAATGAGAGGTAAGTTATTGCTTTATGACTGTATTGAGGCATTTATAATAATTTCTACATAAAATGTATGAGTTTCAAAGCACAGAACTCTTTAAGGATCACAGATAATAGATTGTCTGATTTTTAAAAATATGTAAACCCCATTTAAGAGTAAAGTTTAAGTAACTAGTGTAACAGAGTGCCCTTGTTTATTAACAAAGCCTCGTGTTTATTTTGTCCCTTGAGTCCTGGCTCATCTGCTAATGACATGCACATGCTCTTTATTACTAGTGTGGGTACAACTGGGAAACCAACGCCACTCACCATAGAGGATGGTTAACATGGACACGGGCATGACAAGGAAACCCAGCAGCATATCAGCTATGGCAAGTGACATCAGGAAATAGTTGGTGGCATTCTGCAGCTTTTTCTCTAGGGACACTGCCATGATGACGAGTATGTTTCCAGCAATAGTTAGAATAATCACTACAGCTGTCAACAAAGCAGACCAGTTTTTTTCCTGGAGATGAAGTAAGGAGAAGCATGGTGGTGAGAGACAGCCCTCACAGGAAAGGTTGGTTCGATTTTCTGAGTCCACTGTCCAATTAAATGCATCTGAAGTGTTAGCTTCTCCAGAGTTAAAGTCATTATTGCAGAGCCTTGTGCCATCATTTTGTTGCATTAAGGAGTTTGTACTTGAGCTCAAAGAAGTGTTTTCTTCACAAAGAACATCCATTTCTAAGCTGGAACTTGTAGTAGATGAAGTGTAGAAAAATTAACAAGTTATAGGTTCTGCTCACCATCCATTTTTGTGTCCCCACACTCTGTCACACTGATGCTGGTGTACATTCTGGGCTCCTTGGTTGGCTTTTTTCCTGCCATTATTGCAACAGTAGTTAAAGAACGGCAGTAGCTCTTTCTTTATATTCCCTTCCTTCACAATTTTAGTAGAGTCCTCTGTTTGGTTTCATTTTTTTTCTCCAAAGCAAGGTCAAAAAGGCAGAATGAAATTTAAACATAGAGGTTGCAGAGTTTTGAGCATTCGGGGAGAAAAATGTGGTCCTGGCCAAAAAAGAAAAGTTTTGTAACTACCAGGAATCTCGCTGATCTCTCCCTCATTCTGTTGGTTATGCTGATCACACTAGGTTAGCCACAGCAGTGTTAAAACAGCATGCAAGCCAAAACAGCAGGTTGCATGCCTTCTATGTTCAGAAAGTCAATTAAAAAAACATCTAGTGTTAATCCCATAGTAATTTAATGTACTTTGGATTATAGTTTTCATTCAGTCTTAGGCTGAATTGCCAAAGCTGCTTTCGGAAATTCAGCTTATATTATGCTGCTTAGTTAATAAAAGAAAAAAAAAAAAGTCTTAAGCAAAGATTAACAACTTTCCACATTAGAAATTCTCATTGTGAGATGATTACATTTTAGCTAAGCATAATTTCAAGCCCAGAAGAAAATTACACAGCAATAACATATAGTATGAGAATATGAGAACTTACATTTGTCTTCAGAGTCCACACATTAGACACACTGCTGTTCTGCATCTCTCATAATCATCACACTGGTAGAGAGTCCCTTAAGCTTCCACCAGCATAATATGATAGTAATTTGATTTCTGTTTTGCCGATTTAAAAAACTGCATGTAAGGGTCGAGCCAGTTCCAGCACTGCGAGGTCCCTGTTGGCTTCCTCTGTCCTCGCTTGGCAGGGTCACTCCCTCCCCAGGCAGCTTGCCTCAGCGAGGCACACATTTAGAAATCATTCACAAGCCCCTCTCGAAGTCACACAAAAGAAATCCACAGCAAAGTAGGAAGAGCTGCCTGCACTGAGGGACACGTGGTTTCCACGGGAATGGACTAGCTAGCTCTCAGGCTGTCTCCTCTATGTCGTCGTCAGACCTCCCTCTGTCTGTGTGTCATAAACTGCAAGGTAGCAGCAGCCAGGAGGGCGGACCAAACAGGCTGTTTTTCTCTTTGCGCTATATGTTAACATTGGGAAGTTTTCCTTTGATTTAAAAAGAGAGAAACTGAAGAAATGGCCTTTTGTACAGATTGCTCAGGCAGGTAAGCTGCACTGGGATATTTATTAGGGTGTCAGGGTGAGGAGAGAACATAAATAAGGCTAGAAAAAAATGGTGTATTCTGGGAAAGTGTTCCCTGTAAGCAAGGCACTTCCATTCAAAGCCTACAGTGCCCGTGCCTGAAGTGAATTACTCACACTGGTGACTTGAGCTCCGAGTAGTCAAGCAGATGTTGGCAGATAACTCGGAAACTGTTAGTACTATTTTAATTTATTATTAAATACATACACCATTTAACTAGATTAATTTTACACCTAGAAATATACCACCTAGAAATAACTCAAAGCCTGAAAGAGAATAATTTGCTTGTTCAGAAATAACACTAAAGACAGCCTTTTTAATTGTAAGAAAGCCCTTTCTTTGGTTTTTAAAGAAGGTAGATATATGTATGCATGGATGAGTATACACACACAGGCACACACACACATACACAAACACACACACACGTACAAGAGCATATTAAAGATTGTGAAGAAATTTGTTTATATTTATCTTTCCCTCTCCCCTGCCTTCCACAGAATACTCATTGAAGGACACTTTTGTTTGTTTAATGAATATAAAATTTAACTCAATTTAAAATGTAAATATTGTAAGTATTGAGCTTGAATTTTGAAAAATATACACTTGTAAAACCATTACCCAAACCATTCCCTAAAGCCCCCTTTTGATCTTCACTTAAATGGAAACATGTAGTATAAGCTCCTTTTGTGTCTGGCTACTTTTGTTCAGCAGCATTCATTATGCCGAGATTCATCAGTCGCTGTGAGTAACTGTTTTTTTAATGAATTGTAGTCTGAGAAACTATTAAGTGACCTGGATTTTTGGAAAATCAATTATTTATTTATTTTTTTATTGTTCAAAAAACATAGACTGGATCCTTGTTTTGTCTGTCCTTTTTTGGCTTCTTAACTTTTCTTTTTTAAAAATATATTTTTATTGTTTCAGAGAGGAAAGGAAAGGTAGAGAGAGAAAGAAACATCAATGATGAGAGAGAATCATTGATCAGCTGCCTCCTGCATGCCCCCTACTGGGGATCGAGCCTGCAATCCAGGCATGTACCCTGCCTGGACTCAAATTGAGACCTCCTGGTTCATAGGTCGATGCTCAACCACTGAGCCACACCAGCTGGGCAACTTTTCTTTTTTTAATTATCAAATCTATTGGGGTGGCATTCATTAATAATTCAGATTTCAGATGTGGGTTTCTATGTTACAAGATCTGTGTATTGCACTGTGTGTCCACCACCCAAAATCAAACCTTAACTTTTTAAGACAGAGCAAACCTTAATGTTCACTTAATTGATTGGTTTTGCTCTGAATTGGCAGCATCAAATTCTTTTACTCCATGTTCTTTCTTAAAAATATGTCCCTGAGCTTTCTGCTACGCAAATCTTACTGATGGTTTGAGAATGAGAACAGATTTTCACAGAAAATTTTCTAAATGATATGTAATCCATCACTTTCTTTGGATGCTCCAATTCTCAGGTCTGGAACAACCCACTGACCTTGGAAAACAATGTCTTGAATTGCCTTCTGTTATGCCATTGGCTGTCAAAAGAAACAGCTCCTTGAAATTAGCTGATGATTCTTATCAGCCATTCAATTTTCTCACACTGGTGTTTCATGTAACAATACTCATAAGTTTAAAGATAAGTATTGAATGCTGTGTTAAGGACTATTTATTAATTTATTTATTTATTAAAATTTATCTTTATTGTTGAAAGTATTACAGATATTCCCTTTCTCCCCTTCCCCCCTTCACCCCATTCCTGAATCCCCCAGGCCTTCACAGCACTCTTGAGTGTGTTCATGGATTATGCATATATGGGTATAAATTCTTTGATTAATCTCTTTTAATTACTAATTATGAAGATAGACAAGGTTCCTGCCTTAAATAATTTACTTAAAAATGGTGGTAATAAACATGAGTATTAGGGAGGAGGTATAAACTTAGTAGTCAATGTCATGTTAATGGTATTTAGAGATAGAGAAGGGAAGAGTTCTGAGGCATGAGCCCAGGGTTACTCCAGTATTTTGAGGTTAGGAAGGTGTGGAGGAATTAGTTAAGCAGATTGAGAAGGAGCACCCAGTGGGTACAGAGGGATGCAAACAGTGGTATTCCAGAAGTCAGGTGAAGAAAGACTTCAAAAGGGGAGACTGCTAAACTAGGTCAAATGTTCCTGATTGAAGAAAAAGCCCAACTAAGTGAGAAAAAAAAAAAAAAAAGAGGAAAGAGAGACAGAAGTGAAAATGAGTATAGGCAGTATAGATTACTTTGAAGATTTTTTTGGGGGGGATAACACAGCAGAAAAATGAAGTAATAATTGAAAGATGATAAGAGGCAAAGAGGTGTTTTGTGTGTGTGGTTTTTTTTTTTTTAAATAAGATAAACTATAACATGCTTTCGTGATAATGGGAATGATCCAGTAGAAAGAGGAAAATTGACAATATAATAAAGGCAGGAATGAAAATAAAGAACTTGGTTAATAGATATTACAATTGCTCAAATAAGAGGTGGTGAGAGATCAGACAAGGGCTATGATAGTGGAAATGGAGAGAAGTTCACAGATGTATTTTAGAAATAAAAGTACCAAGACTTGCTGATTTATTGGGAGTCGGGTAATAGGAGTAGAAGGTTGGTTGGTGAGGGAATAAAGAAAGGAATCTAAGATCAAGAATCACCTTTAGGTTTTTGGATTGAACAACTGGGCAGATCATAATGTAATTCATAGAAATGGAGGAAGACTGAGCAGTTGGATTTTAGGGGACAAAATCAATAATTCTGTCATGGATATTCTAATTTTACTATTTTAGTTAGAATTAAGTTCAGCTGCATGCGTCAACAATTCCAGGATAACAGAGTGTTAAACAACAGAGAACATTTTTCCTTTCTCAATGAAGTCTGCAGGTCCAGAGCTGACATGAGACTTTCATGATCATCAGGAACTTAGGCTCTTTCTATGTAGTTACTCTGCTATCCTTATTGTGAAACTTTGTGGTGTTAGATGGATGCTTGACCTCAAGATATCTTGTTCACATCCCAGCCAGCATAAAGGAGAAAGATGAAGTAGTTTCCTCCAGTTCCCTCCAGTGTCACACATGACAGTTTTGCATATTCCTGTGGGCCAAACTTGGATACATGGTCACTCAAGCTGCAAGGGAAGGGGAAGAAACCTTATTCCATCTGCCTGTGCATTCAGCTGTAGATCAGGGATTCTATTACTAAGTAAGAAAGGGAGAATGGGAATTGGGAGGCAATTAGGAGACTCTTACTTAGACATCCAAGAGAAATTATATAAAGATAGTTCAATCAGGAGCTACAGAATCAGTTACAGCAAAGGGTATACATTTTGGAGTCGTCAACCTTTATAGATAGTATTTAAAATTGTGTGCTTTAGTTTTCTGGTCCTGTCATAAGAAGTTACTATAAACTTAGTGGCTTAAAACAACAAATATTTATTATCTTACAGATTTGTTTCTTATAAATCTGACA